CTCTCTGCTCTGTTCCTCTGGTCCGTGTGCCTGTTTTTGTGCCAGCTCCACACTTCTTTGGGACTGTAGCTTCATAATGAAGTGTGAAGTCAGGGAGCGAGATGCCTCCAGCCCGTTCTCCTTCCTCAGGGTCGCTTTGGCTCTTCTGGGTCCTTTGTGGCTCCACACACGTCTTAAGATTGTTTGTTCTGTTTCTATGGAAAATGTCATTGGACTTTTGGTAGGGATTGCGTTGAAAATGTACATTAATTTGGCTAGAATGCATATATTTTTTTAATTAAAAAAAAATTTTGGGCCACACCATGTGGCATGCAGGATGTGGGATCTTAGTTCCCCAACCAGGGATGGAACCTGCGCCCCCTGCAGTGGGAGCGCAGAGTCCCAACCCCTGGATGGCTAGGGAAGTCCCACCTTAGAATGCATATTTTCACAATATTCTTTTTACCCATGAACACGGGGTATATTTCCATTTATTTTTGTCTGTTCAGTTTTCTTTATCAGTGTCTTCCAGTTTTCAGTGTGCAGGTCCTTCACATCCTTGGTTAAATTTACTCCTAGTTATCTTTTTGGATGCAATTGTAAGTGGGATTAAAAAAATATTTCTCTTTCTGATGGTTCATTATCAGTGTATAGAATGATAAATGATTTTTGTGCATTGATTTTTTTTTTTTGTATCTTGTAGCTTTACTGAATTCATTTGTTAGTTGGAACAGTTTTTTGGTGGTTGGATGTGGAAAACTAGAATTCAGAAATCCCACTGTTTCAACTACATCCAGGTCATCCACAGCATCCAAGACATAGTGGCTCCCAATATAATCTTCCCATGGTGCCTCTTGTAGTATGTGGACTCCTACAAGGGTGATTAGCATCCCACTGTGTGTGAACTGGATCTGGGTAGGGCTTGGCCTCTATAACAGAGTTTGATGTCTGTATTTCTGGCATGGTATGACATGGTTGGTTTGATAAGTACTTATTTTCTAGTAAATTTCAAGTGTATAAAAAACTTTAAATAGCAGTATAAAGTTTTCCACATTCACAGAATACTCCAGTTTGTTTTACCCTGTGAGAGTGGGAGGGCTACTCTCCCAGGAAACCAGCACATAACCCCAAAATGAGGAATAATTATGATTTCCACATTATAATCCTATCCACAGACCTGCTTCAACTTTCACCAGCTGCCCCAGCTTTGTGGAAATGTATTTTTCTATTCGAATCCAGTTTTCTTTTCCTGGAACCATCACTGGGGCTTTTCCTCACTTTAAAAACCTTGCTGGATTGAAAGTGTACAAGATGAGCATGATCTGGGTGGTTTTCTGTATGGCTTCTTTCACTTGGGATGTTTTCACTGTTTATCCGCATTGTAACATTGATCATTATTTCATTCATTTTTTCCATTGTGATTAAAAACACATAACATTTACCATTTAAACCATTTTTTAAACAAAGTTTATTTTATTTTTAATTTTTTGGCTGTGTTGGGTCTTCATTGCTGTGCGCGGGCTTTCTCTACTTGCGGCGAGCAGGGGCTACTACTCTTTTCTTTTTTTTTTTTTTTCCTGTGGTACGCGGGCCTCTCACTGTTGTGGCCTCTCCCGTTGCGGAGCACAGGCTCTGGACGCGCAGGCTCAGCGGCCATGGCTCACAGGCCCAGCCGCTCCGTTGCATTTGGGATCTTCCCGGACCGGGGCACGAACCCGTGTCCCCTGCATCGGCAGGCGGACTCTCAACCACTGCGTCACTGATGTTTGACATCTTTTCATGTCCTTGTTGACCATTTGTATGTCTTGCCTGGAGGACAGTCCATGCAAGTCATTTGTCCGTTTCAAAAATTGTATTGTTTGTCTTTTTGTTGATGAGTTGTAAAAGTCCTGGGTATATTCTAGATAAAGAGTCTTATCAGATATATAATGTGCCAATATTTTTTTCAATTCTGTGGGCTGTCATTTTACTTTCTGGATAGCCTCTTTTGATGCACAAAGGTTTGTAATTTTGAGGAAATCCAATTTATCTATTGTTTTCTTTCATTTCTTATGCTTTACTGTCAAATCTAAGAAACCATTGCTAAATTCGTGGTCAGGAAGATTTAATTCTTTGGTTTATTTGAGAGTTCATAGATCCTTTCTCGGTACTCACTAGGCCAGGCTTTAGGCCTGGGGCTGAGTCAGTGTGAGGGTTCAGGGGTCACGGTTTAGGGTTATGGGTCATTGTTGGGGAGTTATTGTAGAGGGTTGTGGTTAAAGGTCATGGTCAGGGATTAGAGTTTGGGGGTCAGGGGCGAGGGTCTAGGGGTCTGAGGCTAGGGTTGTTAGGGGGTTACTGTTAGAGGTTAGGGTTCTTAGGGTAAAGGTTAGAGTTAGGTTTAAGCACAATTGGCCCTCATTGCCCTCCCCTGTTCTTCTCTCTGAAGCCTCCAGAATGGATAGGACTTGCCCTGGGTCAAACAGGAGTCAGGGAGCTGAGGTGAATAACTGTTTTTCTGGCCTCCCTTCCCCCAGTCCTGGGCTCTGAGAGAAGAATGAAATGTCTGTTCTTGTCTCGGACTGTTTCTTATCCACCTCAACCTCTGTCAAGGATTGGGGAGGGTGTCAGAAGTCATGCATGGTTTCCTTCTGCCCTCCTACCTGGGAAGGGTGATGCTGGCCCTACTCTGCCTGGGCAGCCCCAGGTTCCAGCACAGCCCAGACAGGAGGGCACTCAGTGGACATGTGTGGATTTATACAGGACTGGGTGCAGTGACCTGCCAGCCCCCAGATGCTGCCTTCTTGAGGGCTGGTGGGGCCCTCCTGGCACTGGAGGCATCCTTTGTCCCATCTGAGTGGGCATGAATAGATGACCAAGTCTCAGGCAGGACAGCCCTCGACCTCTGACTATCCAGGCAGGCATCTGTGGTCCTCTAGCTCAGTCCAGCCTGGGCATTGTCAGGCCCTCATGTATAGTTACTGAGCTGACCATGCTGCCGGGCAATTGAACAGCTACCTGGGCAGTGTAGACATTCCTTTGAGAAGTTTCAACTACCAACATCCATGTGGTTGAGAAAAAGCCCTCCCCCTCACAGCCTTGTAGCTTGCTAAGAGAGGTGATAATCCTCTAAACATTGGAGTGTGTCCCTGACACAACAACCATACAGCAGACCATGGTCCTGCAATCCTTTGTCCTTTCAGTCGTTAGAAACTTTTGACATTCATATTCATTAAGAATCAAAGATATGGGAGCGGGGCTTCCCTGGTGGCGCAGTGGTTAAGAGTCCGCCTGCCGATGCAGAGGACACGGGTTCGTGCCCCGGTCTGGGAAGATCCCACATGCCGCGGGGCGGCTGGGCCCGTGAGCCATGGCCGCTGAGCCTGCGCGTCCGGAGCCTGTGCTCTGCAACGGGACAGGCCACAACAGTGAGAGGCCCGCGTACTGCAAAAAATAAAAAAATAAAAAATAAAAAGATACGGGAGCAACTGGACCTCCCAACGGGAGGTTCACACTGAGACTGCATTGTCTTGGAGAGCCATATGCATCCATGTGGCCTCTGGAAAGCCTGCCAATTATGGGTTCCATGGCATGGAATAATTCTTGAGCCTCCCATTACTTCATTGCACAAGAGTTTCCTTACCACCCTAGCATTTGGTTTCTTCCCTTAGTAAAGGAGACAGAAGAAAGTGGAAAAGGAGCAGTATTGTTTTTCAGGGATGGGCAATTAATATGGCCAGGGAGATGGCATAGCTCAAGGGCTCCCACCTCTCAGGGGCAGGAATGAGGTCTGTGTGTCTTCTGAGGGCACATGGGCTCTTCTGGGCCATCCTCTGAGATGTGAGGACCTGGTGCCCAAGGCAGGAGACTTGAGTTTACCATCAAGAATAATCCTACCTTTTCAGCAAGTGAAAGAACTTCTTGCAGTCTTGGGAGGACAGTAAAAGCACTGGATAAGTAGCTGCAGCCCCTGACCCTAAGTGAACCCCTTTCTTCCTTTTGTGTCAGATTCTGTGCTGTACAGTGAGCTGTCATTGACATAGAATCTGTTGCTTTTTCCTGGCCAGCATCTGTTGTCATGCCCAAGTGCCTCAGTTTTCCTTTGAGAATTACATCTCACCTGCTTCCAGTCCAAACAGTTCCAAAAGGATGACCCCATGTTCCACCCAGCTCGAAGATAGGTTTACTGCCCACGTCTAGCCAGTCCCATTTTCCATCTTCTGGTGATGGGTGAAGTATGAGACTGTAACCCAAGCCAGACCAAAGGCATTTAAAACCATGACTTTCTTGGAATCCAGGAAAAGGAGAAACTCTTTCTTGGAAAATGGATGGCGAATGGTTGTCAGCCTAGAATAGCTGTTGGCCCAAGGGCAGTGAGAGAGCCTGTGAATGGGGTCCCCCAAAGGCACTGAGCGGGACAAAGGTTTGGAGAGAAGCAAGATCACACTGAGACAGTGTGAGCCCCTGGACCTGCCAGGTCCAAACCCATTCTTCAACTTGCCACTTGCAAGTTTTAATGTATTTATACCCTTACAATAAATACTAATTTATTTTACTTCAGTAAGTGTGTCCAGTTGCTGGGAATAAAATAAAGTCCTAGTTGACACATCCAAATCAGTACTCCTTGATCCATCCTCAGGTGTTCTCACTGGGTAGGCATGGCTGGGGGAGGTGAAGACACTGGGTGGGGTCATATACTAGGGGAGCTGCCAAACAGCTCTGTCCCTGTTCCTTCCCTGTCCCGGGAGAGGGAAAGCCTGGAACAGTGATAGGATAACCAGTATGGGGAAGAGGTTCCTCAGTGATTAATTGGTCTTTTTGTGTTTTCCTTAATTTAGGGTTCATTTTGGTAATGTGTTTTTACAAAGAAATCACCCGTTTCCTCTAGATTTCCTGTTACAGTAGTTTTCTCTTATCTGACTTTTAATTTGTCTTGTCTAATTTTCTACAGAATCATCACAAATAATGAAGAAATACTGATACTTTATTATTAACTGAAGTCCCTATTCACGTTCCCTTTGTTATACCTTTCCTTGTTCCAGGGTCGCATAGGACACGGGGTCATCATGTCTGTTTAGTCTTCTCTGGGCTCTGACAGTTGCTCAGACTCTCCTTGTTTCCATGACCTTGACAGCGTGGAGGAGGGCTGCTCAGGTATTGTATAGACTGCCGGGTGCTGGGATTTGCTTGGTGGTTTTGTCGTGGTTAGACTTGGCTTTGAAAAAGCAGACCACAGATGTGAAGTGCTTCCTCTTCACTATATATCAAGAGGACAGGCTTTTAAGGGAACTTCTCCCTTATATTCTTAATTTTGGTCACCTAGCTGAGGTAATGTTTGTCAAGTTTTCCCACAGTGAGGTTAATTTTTTCCCATGTCCATCCTGTATGTCTTATGTAGGAGGAAGTCATAATGCAGAAGCCACACTTGAGGAGAGAGGGGTTAGCTTCACATCCTTGATGGACAGCTGAGTGGCTATATACATTGTTTAGAAGCTTTCTGCATAGGAGATTTCTATTTAACACCATTCACCAAAAACTATGTAATTTATTTATGCCAGTTTGGACACGTGAATATTTATTGTAAACTTTTGGTTATAATCCAGCACTACATTATTAGACTGCTTAGTTCATTCTTGCTTTGGCTGTTGAGAGCTTTTTCCATTTGCTCCTGTTTTCATTTTACATAATTTTTCTTTCATGTGTTTTTTCTAATTTTTGGTACTTCTTTACTTTCTGATATTTTAAGATTATCCTGCTTCATATATTTACTGTCTCAGTCCTAGCAGCAGCCCTTTCTTCAAAGAGCCCTTGTTCCTTTTATTAGAGAATGGTATTAAAAACTTACATGTGGGAGCTAAATATGCCTAGCTGACAGTGCATGGAAATATGTGCATGTATCCCAGCCTGCGCATATACACATAGTTCCACATGGAAATCTTTATAATTAGGTGTATCTCTATTAGGCTAAAGATAGTTTATACTGATATCTCCAACATGATCTGTTATTACATGAATATTGTAACCTTCTCTCTTTGTCTGTGACTTCCCACTCCAATGGTCAGAAACCTGGCTTCCTCCATTTGTCGTTTATTAAATTCACTGCTTGTTCCATTCGATGACTGATATAGTAGTTTCAGTACTGTTAGCTGCTACCCCTCATGGGAGAGAACTTAGAGTCCACTGTGTATGTATGGCATATTTTGCCTTTGGCCTACAGAGTCCGCTCATTTCCAGAGTTAACTTAGGTCAGCCCATTTTGTCCCACCACCAACAGTGAGTTTTTTCATACATTTGTAAATCAGTTAGATTCTTGTTACATTCTGTTTGCCAGTCTTTGACACTCCCATATCCTAAGTAGCTAAATTTGAATAGATTGTAATTTACTTGTTGGGTTGTAAAAATCTGTGGGTGTAGACAAATACATAGTGACAGCTATTCACCACTAAAGTATTATATGGACTGTTTCAACCACATATTCCATAAGCAGTTTACCATGTCAGTTTTGCCTTTTCTAGAATGTCATATAAATGAGGTCATACAGTGTGTAGCACTTCAGACTGGATTCTTTCACTTAGCAATGTGTTAGATGCATCTATTTTTTTTTTTTTTTTTTTGCCCGGGTTGATGGTCCATTCCTTTATATTGCTGAATGCTATTGCATTGCATGTATATGAGAGAAAAAATAATTTTCCCTCTACTCTTCTGTGTTCTTCATTGAGATCTCCCTTGTAATGAAAAGGAGATGAACTGGAGAAAACAATCAGAAGTTTAATATATACCATGCATACCTCCTGTATACTTGAAAGATGCCCAGGAAAACTGAGTCACTCCCTGAAATGGCCCAAGCCATTACCTTAAATGCTTCTGCTGAGACCAAAAAAAGATGTTAGGGAATGGAGTCAGCCATTTAAGGGAGGTTATTAGGCAAAGCACAGTAAACAAGGGTATGGTTGTTACACAGATTTATATCCAGGCCTGTTTCATTGACACGCTTTTTTTTTTTTTAAACATTTATTTACTTAGCTGCGCTGGGTCTTAGTTGAGGCCTGTGGAATCTTTAGTTGCGGCATGCGGGCTCTTATTTGCAGCATGCGGGATCTAGTTCCCTGACCAGGGATTGAACCCTGGTCCCCTGCATTGGGAGCATGGAGTCTGAACCACTGGACCAGCAAGGAAGTCCCAACAAGCTTTTCTTGATATTTAGTCATCATTCAATTCCTGGTCCAGAGAGGGACATACCCTTACAAATGGAGATATCCTTAATAATTGTAAATTTACCTCATAAAAGGGCATTTTCTACTTGGTTTTGAAAGATTCTCCTGGGTCTGTTTCTTTTCTTTTCTTTTTTTTTAATGCAGTACGCGGGCCTCTCACTGCTGTGGCCCCTCCAGTCGCAGAGCACAGGCTCTGGACACGCGGGCTCAGTGGCCATGGCCCACGGGCCCAGCTGCTCCGCGGCATGTGGGATCTTCCCAGACGGGGGCACGAATCCATGTCCCCTGCATCGGCAGGCGGACTCTCAACCACTGCGCCACCAGGGAAGCCCCCGTTTCTTAAATTAATCCGTCCACAATAATCCTTCTGTCAAATGGGCATATTTTGGGGTGGTGTATTCTGCTCCCCTTGGCATGTATCTGCCCTAATTTGCTTATGAATTCATCTGCAGAAGGACATCCTGATATCTTTAAGTTTTTAACCATTATGAATAGAGCTGCTGTGCATTACTTGATGCTAGTTTTGGTTTGAATACAGTTTTTCAAAGCAGTTGTCTAAATACAAGAGGTACACTTCTTGGATCCTAAGGTGAGACTGTTTAGATTTGGAAAAAACTGCCAAACTGTCTTCCGAAGTTGGTTGTACGTGCATTCCACCAGCATCTTGAGTTTATTCTTGTATGCTTATTTACTGCCTGTTTATCTTCTTGGGCCAGGTGTGTGTTTCAACCTTTACCAAATTTTAATGGCATTGTTGGCATAATTTGAGTACAGATCCTTTATCAGATACGTGTTTTGGAAATAGTTTCTTGCAGTTTGTGGTTTGTCTTTTGGTTTTCTGAATAAGGTCGCCAAACCCAAGGTCATGTAGATTTTCTTTTTTTTTTCTAGGATTTTTATAGTTTGGTAATTTAAATTTGTCTATGGGCAATTTTGAGTGAATTTTGGTTTAAGTTGGGAAGTTTGTGTCTACATTCATTTCATTACATATGGTTTCTGATTAATTGTTCCTTAACCATGTTTTGAGAAGATACAGTGAGATACTTGGCTCCATTTCAGTTTGGATTTCCAAACTTAGTATATACAGCAGAACTGCCTTCCGAATGAGGCCTCTGGGTTTGTGAGTGCGGCACTCCTGGCACTTCTCTGACGTCCCACAGGGGGCGCCGAACCCACCTGTCTGACCCTGGGGGCACAGGTGCACCCTGCCCACAGACTTTGCTCTGTGACAAGCAGACAGGAGCTTTGTCTCCTGTCAGGGCTTAGGTTTCTGGACCATGAGGCATTGTCCACACTAACAGGAGCTGGGTTTTCTCAGGAACCACTGGTGAGGAGATTCCACAAGACGAAAAAATGAGCAAGTGTGGAGAATCCTCCTGTGCAGCTGACTGCTGGGTGGGTGGGGTGCATCTTCAGGGCACTCAGGAGAGAAAGGGTTTAGTGTGGAATACTGTGCGTTTTAGTTAGTTTTATGTGCAGTGTAGATGGTGACCAGTGTCGTTCTTTGGAGACTGGTGTCTAGTTTTCCTGGCACTGTTTGTTGATGGCTTTGGGTAGAACAAACATTTTTTTTTTTTTTTTTTTGTGGTACGCGGACCTCTCACTGTTGTGGCGTCTCCCGTTGCGGAGCACAGGCTCCGGACGCGCAGGCTCAGCGGCCATGGCTCACGGACCCAGCCGCTCCGCGGCACGTGGGATCCTCCTGTACCGGGGCACAAACCCGTGTCCCCTGCATCGGCAGGCGGACTCTCAACCACTGCGCCACCAGGGAAGCCCCAAACATTTTAATAATAGTAATTTTTCTGATGCATGAGCATGGAATATTGTTTTCTATTGTGTCTTCAATTTCTTTATCAATGCTTTATAGTTTTCTGAGTATAGGTCTTTCATGTCCTTGGTTAAATTTATTCCTAAATAGTTTGTTCTTTTTGATGGAATTGTAAATGGGATTGTTTTCTTGATTTTTCTTCCTGGTGGTTCATTATTAGTGTGCAGAAATAAAACTGATTTGTGTATATTGATTCCATATTTTGCAACTCTACTGAATTTATTTTTTAACATATTTTTTGAAGTAATGTGAAAAATTGTAATACTAAAATCTCACTGTTTCTACTGCACCCCAGGTAATCCACAGGACCCACGACATGGTAGCTAACTAACATACTCTTCCCACGGTGCCTGTTAATACCATGTGGACTCCTACAAGGGAAGTAAGTATCACAACTTTGGTTGAACGTGGTCTGGGTAAGTCTTGGCCTCTATAACTAAGTTTGATGTCTGTCTTATCTGATTTTCTGGCATGGTACTGACATGGTTGTTTACAAAAGTTATTTACTTTCCAGTAACTTAAAATGTACAGAAAAGTTTCAATAATGGCAAAAAGTACTCACATTTGCCACTTCACACAAAATGCTCAGTGTGTTTTACCCAAGGAACCAGCACATAATCCCTAAATGAGGAAATCATGATGTCCACATTATAATTTAATACACAGGCCCACTTCAACTTTCATCTGCTCTCCCAACTGTATGAAAATGTCTTTTTCCATCCTGATCCAGTTTTCTTTTTCTGGACCCATTACTGAGTTTTCCCCTCATTTGGACAACCTTGATGGATTTGAAGCAGACAAGATGAGTATGGGATCTGGGTGGGCTTTTCTTTCTTTTTTTCCCCTTGTGATATGCACAGGCTCCGGACGCGCAGGCTCAGCGGCCATGGCTCACGGGCCCAGCTGCTCCGCGGCATGTGGGATCCTCCCGGACCGGGGCACGAACCCGTGTCCCCTGCATCGGCAGGTGGACTCTCAACCACTGTGCCACCAGGGAAGCCCTGGGTGGCCTTTTCTGTATGGCTTTTTTCACTAAGGATGATTTTAACGTTCGTTTTTGTAACAAATATCAGCGCTGCACTTTTTTTTCCATTGTCATTACAGATACAAAACATGACTTTAGCGTTTAATTCATTTTACGTATCCAGTTTTGTGGTATTAACTACCTTCATGTAGTTGCACAAACAAGTTAACTAACACGTGTACATCCTGTGTGCATGGGAGATACCCAGGGAATTGAGTAACACCTTGGAATGGCCCAAGACATCACCTTAAATACCGTCTTCATCTAAAACGAAAACAAAGGAAGGGTAGAGTTGTTTCTGTCTACATTCATTTGATTGCATATGGTTTCCAATTGATTGTTGTATAACTAGTTTTAGAGAAGTCATGGGATAGTTGGCTTCATTTCAGTTTGAATTTCCAAATTTAGTGGATTCTGCAGGCTTGATACAAGGTTTACAAACTTGATATTGAATCAGGACATCCCATGGTGTAACTGGTATTAATGGTTTGTTCAACAATTAAAGTTCTGTGTGATATGAGTTCAGCCTGGAGTAATCCAGGTTGGTTTCTATCTGTTATACATTTGTCCCAGGATGAAAGGACAAGGGAAATAAGGCCTACTTTATAAAAGTGACTTCAAATTAATTGATGGTATAATCTCAACCTAATTTTTAAAAAATTTATTTTATTGAAGAATAGTTGACCTACAAAGTCGTGTTAATTTCTGCTGTACAACAAAGTGATTCAGATATATATATATACACACACACACAGACACACACATACATATATACATACTGTTTTTCATATTCTTTTCCATTATGGTTTATTACAGGGTACTGAATATAGTTCCCTGTGCTGTACAGTAAGACCTTGTTGTTTATCCACCCTATATATAATAGTTTGCTTCTACTAATCCCAAACTCCCAATCCATCCCTCCCCTCATCTTCCCCTTGGCAACCACAAGTCTGTTTTCTTAAATCTGTGAGTCTGTTTTTGTTTTGTATATAGGTTCATTTGGGTCTCATTTTAGATTCCACATATAAGTGATATCATATGGTATCTGTCGTTCTCTCTATGGCTTACTTCACTTAGTGTGATAATCTCTAGGTCCATCCATGTAGCTGCAAATGGCATTATTTCATTCTGTTTTATGGCTGAGTAATATTCCATTATACATATGTACCACATCTTCTATAGCCATTCATCTTTTGAGGGACATTCAGCTTGCTTCCATGTCTTGGCTATTGTGAATAGTGCTGCTGTGAACGCTAGGGTGCACGTATCTCTTTGAATTATAGTTTTGTCTGGATATATGCCCAGGAGTGGGATTGCTGGTTCATATGGTAATTCTATTTTTAGTTTTTTGAGGAACCTCCATACTGTTTTCCATAGTGGCTGCATCAATTTACATCCCCACCAACAGTGTAGGAGGGTTTCCTTTTCTCCACACCCCCTCCAGCATTTATTTGTAGACATTTTAATGATGGCCATTCTGACCACTATGAGGTGATAACTCACTGTAGTTTTGATTTGCATTCTCTAATAATTAGCGATGTGGAGCATCTTTTCATGTGCCTATTGGCCATCTGTATGTCTTCTTTGGAAAAATGTCTATTTAGACCTTCTGCCCACTTTTTTATTTTTTTTTGAGTTGTATCAGCTATTTGTATACTTTAGAAATTACGCCCTTTTTGGTCACATCATTTGCAGGTATTTTCTCCCAAACAGTGAGCACAGGTTCTGGAACAACTGGATACCCCCATGCAGAAGAATAAAGTTGGACCCTTACCTCCCCCCACCCTGTATACAAAATCAACACAAAATGGACCAAAGGCCTAGATGTAAGAACCAAAATTATAAAACTCATAGAAGAAAACATGAGAGTAAATCTTCATGACCTTCGATTTGGTCATGATTTCTTAGATTTGCTACCAAAAGCACAAGCAACAAAAGACAAAATAGATGAATTGGACTTCCTCAAAATGAAAAACAGTTGTGTATAAAAGGAGCAAGGAATAAGATAATCCACCATCCAAAATGGCCCAAGATGTTTGCAAACCATGTATCTGATAAAGGACTGTAGCCCACCAGCCAGGCCCCCGGTGGTCCAGTGCAGTGTCTGTGCGGCCCCTCCCGTCGTCGGTGATCAGGGGATTTCAGGCCCCACAGCACCCGAGGGGTGGACACGGGTCATCCTCAGCACCCTCAGGGAGTGAGTGCTGGATGGTTTTGAGCCCAGATGTACTCCCATTACTGCCCTCAAAGGCTGAAGGCTTCAGCATGCCTCCAGAAGGACACAGAGTATTTGCAAGTCTTTGAGAACCAAGAGGACAGTCTTCACTTTTCTGAAAGGGCATCTTATTATTTCACAGCATGACCATTTTCAATCTGGCTCTCAGGGGTGCCCTCCCACCTCCCTGATTTCTCTGAGAGTGGCCATGGGAGTTTGGCTGTCCGCAGTCCCCACACCAGGTGACAAGGCCAGTGGGGCCAGACCCTGGTGGTCCTTAGCTTCGCTGGACACTAACTCAGACTCTCAGCCTGCGATTGAACGTGGACGCCCCTGCTTCTCCTTGTCACCGATTCTTATCTCCTCCTCTGTCTCTCTTCCTCTTGCTTTTCAGTCTCAGATTTACCTGACGGCCACCACTCACAGTTCCCGCAGAGCCCAGAGATTTCTCCTTGAAGGAAAGGTTCTGGAAAATCAGAGGGATAAATAAAGGATGCAGCTGATTCCCGCCTTGTGCTGACACCCAAGAGTGTGAGGAGAGTGAGTGTTTTCTCATTAGAATTTTAAATCCTCCAAGTAATAGATCATTGAGGGGGCATGCAGTGTTCTCCTGCTCATTCTAAGAATGTCATTCCTGGATTTTAATGTGGTAAATAATTTATATTATAAATATGCAGAGCGGGGGATATCCATTCAAAAATGTGAGAGGTAACTCCAAGGGATTTACAACAAACAAGGACACAGAACCCTGTGTCCAGACACTGGCTGAGAGATTCCTACCCTGAGCTGCAGTCCCCTGGAGGGCGGAGTGGCCATGACTCTCCTCCCGCAGGTGAGCCTACACAGGCACATCCCACGTGGGACCACTGCATCGCAGAATCTTAGAGTGGCCAGTGGCAGGCAGCTGTCTAGAGATGCGGACAAGAGAAAACTGCTCAGCAGCCTGGGACAGCCCCAGGGTGAGGCCTTAGTAAGAGCCAGTGTCAGAGCCTCAGAGATAACTTGAAGAGACAGTTCGGGCTGTTAGGGACATCGTCAGAGATGTACTTAGGGACATATTCAGGGCCTTAGTTATGGACAGGATCAGGGCATTATTTAGTGACAGCTTAGACTATAAGGGACAGCTTAGACTATAAGGGAGAGCCTTAGTCAAAAGTCAGGCTGTTACTTAGGGATATATTCAGGGCCTTAGAGCCAGCATCATGGCCATAATTAGAATCAGTGTCAGGGCGTTAGGGCCAAAACTAGGGTGTTAGTTAGGGAAGGAGTCAGGTCATTAGTTACAGACGGTGTCAGGGTTTTAGGTAGGGACAGTGGCAAGTCCCTAGTTAAGAAAAGTGTCAGGGCCTTGGTTAGGGGCAGTGTCAGGGCGTAGTTAGGGGAAGAGTGAGGCCATTAGGTAAAGACAGACTCAGGGCCTTAGTTAGAGACAGCATCAAGTCCTTTGTTAGGGATATTGTCATGGCCTCAGTTAAAGATAACTTGAGGGTCTTAGAGAGAGTGTCAGGGACTTAGTTATGGACATCTTTAGGGCCTCAGAGGTAACTTGAGGGCTTTAGTAAGAGACATTTTGGGTCATTAGTGACATGGTCAGGACCTTAGTGCCATCTTCAGTACATCAGTTATGGGCCGCATCAGGGCATTAATGAGGGACAGCTCATGTTAATAGGGGCCGTGTCAGGGACTGTGTCAGGGCCTTAGTTAGGGAAAGAGTGAGGCCATTAGTTAAAGACAGACTCAGGGCCTTAGTTAGAGACAGCCTCAGTCCTTAGTTAGTGTCAGGGCCTCAGTTAAAGATAAGTTGAGGGCCTTTGTTAAGGACAGCCTCAGGGCCTTAAAGGGATGTACATAAGAGTATCTTTGGGCTCTTTACCAAACTAAAACCCCCACAAAATAGAAGATTTTAGCATTCTTCATTCCAGAGAAGCTCATCAAGAGACCATCTGAGGCCAGATTAAAGGGAGTTAAGGCCCTGTACACACACTAATCCTTAGGAGCAACTGTGTCCTTAAACCATTGCTGTAAAACTCCTCACCAGATCCTCCTGCATTGGGACACACAGTTTTTGAGGACACGAGTTTTCTGTGTCCCCCTGTGGCTGGCAAAGCAGTAAAGCTATTCTTTTCTACTTCTTCCAAACCTCTGTCTCTGAGATCCGATTTGGCACTGGTGCACAGAGGTCGAGTTTTCGGCATCAAGTTTAGTACCCAGTATGGGGCTGACTTGGGGAAGGCCCCTGTGGGTCCCCTGACTTGATTGGACACTCTGATTTTCTCCATGCCAGCCTCTTTTGAGAGAGTGTAGGGTTGTAGAATTCCTTTAGAGGCCAGACTGCCTGGGACCCTTGCCTGGAGAGGCCAAGCCCCAGTCATACCCCATCTGCCATCCCAGCAGTGGAGAAGATGGCGGAAGAGGGACCACCCTAGCAACTGCCAAGGCCATCTTTGCCTTGAGGATGTTCCTCTCTTCCTCCTTCCTGGATTGCCCCGAATGTCCTACTCCAAGGGATTATTTTGGGGAACCAGAAAAGTAGCATTTAGGATGTTGCGATACCTCAGCCAGCATGTGGTAACTCCCCTGGCATGCACTCTGAGGTCCTTTTAGCCCTGTACATTTGGGGGAACTTTGGCTCCCATTTGGGTGACTTTCCATTCCTGGAAATCTCAATTGGAAGGTGCACCACTTGGACAGAGGTCACAGGCTAAGTTGAGACTTGGAAGCTGATTTGAGTCTTGTGCTGTTTGGTTTTTGGTTTCTGTTTGGTTTCCTTTGGTTTGAGGCTTCCATTGGTGGTGAGGATCTTGTTTTGTTCTTAGTCCGCGTATGAGTGTTCTATGGTTCAGACATAGGAAGTGCTTCTTCAGTTCCATCGGATAGCCAATGGGCAAAATCCTGGCAGACTGGTCAACCTGTAGTTGTAAACCTAAGACTAAGAAAATAATGGAATTCTATTGTAGTTTTGTCTGGCCAACATATGGATACATTCTTGAAAATGAGGAAAGGTGGTCTTTGAATGGTAGCCTAAATGACTATACTATCCTTCAGGTAGAGTTATTTTGTAACAGGAAGAGAAAGACAAAAGAAGTTCCATATGTTCAAGCATTTATGAAGCTACGTAATAAACAAAGTGAGCAGCTAGGTACCAGGCTGATAGTACAAAGAGAAAAAAAAGTCACTTTGTACTAGAGCTGTTAGTTTCTGAATGCAGAAGAAAATAAGGGGCAAAATAAGATGGATACAGAAGGTGATGAAAATTTGTGAAAAGAGAACACTGAGGAAACAAGTTGTGCATGATCAGGATTTTCTATTGGATTAAATTTAGTTGGGTAAATGGATTTTGTTGGAAGTGGGTTAGGGCAAGACTGGCTTTGGTTTCTCCCTCCAAAGTTTTCTTGGAACACAGCTTTTAATAACAGCTTGTGAGTTCCTTTGCCTGTGTCTGTGATCTGTATTTTTGTTTGAAATCTCCTTACTTTGGTTAAGTGTTGTTTGGCCAATTCTAACAGTTCTTTTGATCTCCAGCTAACTTTGAGGTGCTTTAGAAGGCCCCTGAGCCATCTCAGAGAGAAATGTTTGATTAGTATGTTAAATTACATGGAATTCCTAAAAATCTAGTATGTCCTGGTAAAATGTTATCAGTCATAATTCTAGTTATTTTTAAATGTTTCATGTAACAGCAATAATTGTTTCTTTTGTCATTTACATTGTGATCAAATGTTTAACCGTGACCTTTTAAGTCTTTATGTGATTTATAGATAGTTATTGTTGTGCTCTAAACTTTGGAAAAGTGCTCCATTTTCAAGAAGATCTATGTGAAGGGCCTTTTGGCAAACACAGGTCTCTGATAAATTTCGTATCATAATGCCAAACTGGGTAAGAAATGAAAAATCTTAATGGAGAATCTGATGGCTTCATAAAAAGTTAACAAAAGGATTGGTTACTGGGTGAACTGGTGAATATGGTTATAACGTTTTTGTTTTTTTGTTACTGGCTTTGATCTGTGTTTTCCAGACACAGGGAAGTCCTTCCCCTGGAGCTACTTAGGACTTTGAGCAGTTGGGTAAATGACACCTCTGTATTGAAGTGTGTATTTATGAAAGTTACTGTGTTGGCTTCACTTTTGCCCTGATGTTTAGGAGGAAAGGAAAATTACCTAGTGAAGTTATCAGAATGTAATTACTCATGATGTATCACTGTTTGCTTTAGGTCTACTGCTAAAAGCACATGTACAATGCTTGTGTGACAATTGGGTATGAATAATAAAATGTATGGCCTATATAAAGCATTTTCTCATTAACATACCTCTGAGCATGTTCATGATACCTGATCAGTATTCCCCCAATGTGGATTAACTAGGCAAATATAAAGGAGGCCTAGCGCTGAGGGACATGATCTACACGTGGGCCAAACAGCTGAATCATTCTGGCACTGAGGGATTGACATTTTGATCATCAATGCTTTCTATTGAAAGACTTGTAATCAAAAGGGAAAAAAACTCTTCACGTATTGAGGTGTGAGGAAGTCGCTTTGGCTTATACATGGTTTAACTTAAATTTTACTGACCAAAGAGGCCCGTTTTGTAGCCTTTCGGACATGCATTGTACATCTGCTTTGGCATTGAGGAGGGGAATGCATTTGACAGTCAAAAAGGAGTAACTATGCTTCAGACATCCAAGGTAAAGCTAAGTGACCATTGTAGATGTGATTTTAGATGCATTCCTGTATTGTTTTTTTGTTTTCTTTTTCAAGATTTTTTTTTTTGATGTGGACCATTTTTTAAGTCTTTATTGAATTTGTTACAGTATTGTTTCTGTTTCATGTTTTGGTTTTTAGGCCACGAGGCATGTGGGATCTTAGCTCCCCACCCAGGGATCAAACCAGCACCCCCTGCATTGGAAGATGAAGTCTTAACCACTGGTCTGCCAGGGAAGTCCTCACATTCCTGTATTGTTGAACTTGAATTTCTGAGCTATGTCAGACTTGGGATGCCACTAGCCATTTTCAAAACAATGTCTGCTGGTAGCTGCAACTGTACGTTTTCAAGGACTCCTCTCTTAACTATTAAATTTTAAACAATGATGTTAGATCAGATACTAATAGAAAGATGAGACATATGTGTAGTGGTCAATAGCTCCTGTTATGGATATGTTAATACTACATCAGAAGTTAAGACCTACTTAGGTAAAATTAGACAACTGGCTACAAAGTCTCTCCAAAGTGCCAGTTCCAGACTGGGTTTCAGACTTATTCTTCTGAATTCCTAAGGGAATGAGATCTACTTTTACTATTAAAGTTTCAGTTGTTACCCCTCCTATTTTAACTGGGTTGGTTGCACCAAAATGGCAGACCAAGGGATTGAGATCTTAATCATACGAGTCTCAGGTCCAGGACTTGGAACTCAAATATTTGTAATTTGGTATCCATTCCCCCAGATTTAGGCAGGATGACGCCCGCCCCCACCCCCAGTTTCAGCAGGAAGCAGCCAGAGCAGTCGTTGCCCCGTTGCCTGAAAGATGTGGGGAAAGATAAAACTGAAGTGGGGATTAAAACTGAGTCCCCTTAAAACCGAGTTCCTGTGCCAAGTTTATGATTAATGTCTCAATCTGAAATGATTATTCCTTTTCTTGTCAAAAACCTGTTGTCCTAAAGATTGAGGAGTGTCTAGAAGAGGAGGAGTTAAACTGAGTGGGACTCTGTGGGTCTCCTGGGCACAGAAGCCTTTCTGTGTGCCTCCTAACTTGTTTGTGGGGAATAGACTAGACACTCCAGGACCTTCCCTGAGTTCCAAAGGGTGGATTCGAACAGTTGCTAATCAGGGAAGGGAGGGGATGCAGAGACAGGGAGGAACAGTCAAGAAACAATAGTGCAGCCTTGAGGCAGGGTCCTGGTTCTGCCTCAAGGGATACACATAACAATATTTTTGAGCTCCTTAAGTCACTAAAACCCCCAACAAATGGAAGATGTTAGCATTCTTCATTCCAGAGAAGCTCCTCAAGAGACTATCTGAGGCCAGATTAAAGGAGTGCAGGCCCTGTATACACCCTGATCCTTATCAGCAACCACACCCTTGAACCATTGCTATAAAACACCTCACCAGATCCTCCCGCATTGGGACACACAGTTGTTGAGGGCACGAGCCTGCTATGTCCTCTATTGGCTGGCAGAGTGATAAAACTAATCTTTTCTATTTCTTCCAAAACACTGTTCTTGAGATTCAATTCAAAACCGGTGCAGAGAGGCTGCTTATTCAGTATCAGGTACAGAGTCAGGCTGTTAGAAACAGTGTCAGGTCTTTAGTTATGGAAAGCCTCAGGGAATTAGGGACAGACCAAGATATTATGCACAGCGTCAGAGCCTTAGTTAGGGAGAGTGTCAGGGCATGACGTAGGACCAGCATCAGGACCGTAGTTAGGATCAGCATCAGGGTCTTAGTTAAAGACATTGCCAGGACCTGAGTTAGGCACAGTATCAGGGCCTCCATTAGGGACAGGGTCAGTGCTTGAGTTAGGGACAGCCTCAGGGCCTGAGTTAGCGATGGCCTCAGGGCTTACTTAGGGACACCGTTGGGACTTTGGTGAGTTGCCTCATGACATTACCTAAGGGTAGTGTCAGGACTTCAGTTATTGACGGCATCAAGGCCTATGTTAGGGACAGCTTCAGGGCCTTAGTTAGGACCAGTATCAGAGCCTGAGTTAGGCCTAGCATCAGGGTTTGCATTAGGACTAGCATTAGGGCCTTAGGTATGGACAGTGGCAGGGCCTGAGTTAGGAGTAGCTTCAGGGCCTTTGTTAGGGACAGCATCAGGGCTTTTGTTAGGATCAGAGTCATGACATTAGCTAGGGACAGAGTCTGGGAAAGAGCTAGGGATAGTGTCAAGATGTTAGTTATTGAGAGCATCAGGGCCTGAGTTAGGACCAGCCTCAGGGCTTGAGGTAGGGACAGAGTCAGAGCCTGAGTTAGGGATAGCCTCAGGGCCTGTGTTAGGGACAGCTTCAGGGTCTTAGTTAGGGACAATGTCAGGGCCTTAGCTAGGATCAGCATCAGGGTCTTAGTTAAAGACATTATCAGGGCCTGAGTTAGGCACAGCATCAGGGCCTCAGGGATAGCTTCAGGGCCTGTTAGGGACAGCGACAGGGCTTTCTTAGGGACAGTGTCAAGACCTTCTCCAAGCTGAACTGCTCCCCGTGTCCCTGTACTGAACTCAGAAGGACTGAGAAAGGTGGGTACCGACCACGACCATACACAAGGCAGGCATTAAGCAAGAAGGACAGAATGAAGGGAGAACAGATTCACTTGTGTTTAAGGCAGGAGAGGTTTTGGGCTGAAACAATACAGTACATGGAACAACAGACGCAAAAGCACTTCAAGGGAAAAGTTACCAGGTTACCAGAAGAAATCACATGCTAATGATGTCCTCATCACTGATGGATCTTCATCCCTTCAAATGCTGTGTTGGTCAGGCACTGCACCAGGCGCAGACCTGGCATTTGCTCCCTAAAGCAGGAATCTGTCAGGAGGTTTGCAGTTTCCTCATTCGCTTTGTCACAGAGCGGGATTCCCACTACTTCACACCCCTTCTCAACCTGCAACCCAAGTGGCAGGAGAGCAGTGTGGCCCATCACAGGGGTGGGGACCCAGCACCTGGTGTCCTACATACCCTGTGGACTCTCCCCAGCAAGACTGTGCATCCCTCGGACAAGATAGTCCAGGGAAAACCAAGCTTGTGAGTTTCTTCCTTAGCAGCATGACACAGGTGGCGTATCTCTAGTGCACTGACACATGGCTTCATAAATCAGGGCAAGAAACATATACATGTTTCCTGGTCATGAGGCCTGCAGATCCTCATCTTAGGGACATGGAACTTCTTCCCATAAGTTGAGGCTGTCTCAAGAGGAGGAAAGCATCAGCAAAAAACATCAGCAAACAACAAAAAGCAAGATTATCTAACCCATTTAGCCAAAGTGGCTAGAGAATGAGATATATGAGTTATCTGAATAGTCCGATTAATAGTAATAAGTTCATTTTTTTCCCTGTTTAACCAACATAAGTTTTTCCATTCTTAAAAAGATGAAAAAACGACTCGCTCCTTTTTTTCTCTTGAGTTGGTTTCTTCACTGTCCAGCTGTCCCCTTGCCAGAGCTGCCGTCACTCCTTGCCACCTGAACCCCATAAAAGCTGGCTTCTGGACCTCAGCGCCAGCTGACTTTCTGGTGCTTTTCTCAGTCTTCAAGTTTATCTGGATCTCCCCACACTTACTACATGGATGGCTCCCTGCCTCTGAAACACCCTCCTTTTATTTCCATGCTCTGTATGCTCAAGGTTCTTTTTCCTAATTCTCGAACACACTAAATGAGATTGTTGCCCAAGAATGTATCCATGGCCTCTTCTCTTTCTATTTGCCCATCCTTGTCAGTCCCATGTAAGCCCATAGCTTTACCTCGCACCTTTGAGAAAAGACCTCAGAAGTTGGTTATCCTTCGCCCTGACTCTCTGCCCAGCTCCAGGCCAAAGGCCCACCATCTGCAGACCTCTCCCCAGAGAAATCGTGCCTGGACTGCCAACAAATGGACCAAAACGCTCCTTCGTGCACCCTCTAAAATCCGGGTCCTGTGTCACCTTCCTCCCAATTCCTGCAGCTAAAACCCACCTGCAAGTATGTCCTCCTTTCTCTGAGCAGCTGTGGTCCTTGGCCTCACCTCTTATCCCAGGCCACCCTTTCTGCAGTGCTGTCTAGTTATGTTTTCTGGGTTTCATTCTCCCAGGCTAACCTGTCAGCTCTCCTACGTACGTGCTAAAAGAATGAATGAAAATATCCTTAACAGCACACCTAGAATGAACAAAGCATGTTAACATTTTAGTAGACGCTTCCCTTCCCTTCAATATTCTCTTACCATCTTTCCCTTTGAGCAACTCTGTGCCAGGTGCTTAACTACACACTGCAGGTGTTGCTACTACTGCCCCCACCACTTCCACTGCTTCTATCAATACTGATACTCCTGCTGCTACTACTAACAATAGACATTCGGCACTTACTATGTGTCAGGTACCGTGATAAGCGTTTATGGGGATTACAGCATTTAATCTTAACAACCGCCCTGTGAGAGAAGTAATAGTTTCTCCCCATTTGACAAATGGGCAACTAAAGCAGAGAGGAAAACTGGGTAACTTCTTTGTCTTCAAGGAGCATTTAGTCCAGCAAAGAAAGACAGGCCTTGGACACACAATTACAATGTGCTGCATGCTATGAAGGAAAAGCGCAGGATATCACAGGAATGCATAATAAGGGGACCTCGCTCAGGCCAACGACCAGGGATGCTTAAGTGGGAATCGGAAGGAAAAAATGAGAATAAACCAGCCAAAGAGGAAGGAAGAACAAGCCATATCGAGGGGCCAGGCTAGCCCTGGGAGCTCATGGTTCACAAGGTGCTAGGCACTGACAGTGGGAAAAGAGTGCCATCCTAAATACAGCACCCATCCCCTGCAACTGTCCTGTTCACTGGAAAGGGAGAAAAGCTGCATCGCCCTGCCTGGGGGGCTGGGAACTGGACTCGCCTACCAAGCAGAGCTCCTATTTTCCATTCACATTTTAAACGCAGGATGTGGAGATGCATTTATAATCAAATGCTTTGTGGAATGCATCCTGCTTTTAAAAATCCTTCATGGGGCCATACTTTTTAAGAGTTTCATCACCAAGTGTTAGCAAAATGTAATAATGATGATTGGTATAATAGATTCCAGTTTACCAAAAATGCAGAACCTCTCCCAGAATTCCATGGAAAGGGTTCTGTGCCATCAAGTCAAAGGGGTTTTGTCTCAAAGAGAGACAATAATAACAATCCCATTGCAGTAAGCCCTTTAGACAGCTCATGCAATAGGGTTACCCAAAGTACTTTGGACCAATGAATTTTAAGAACAAGAAAAATATGAACTGCATTAATAGTGTAGGCTTGTGTGTGAAAGGCATAATATATATTTAAGTATTTTAAGAAGAATTTCTAGCATAGTCCAAACAAGTGCAGATATGAGATGCAAATCTATGATTTATAGATATTAGTTGGCCTATTGGTTGAGATCCATCTTCCTGTCTCCTGTTTGCTGGAATCACATGGAATAGAATACGGAAAATTCATTCTAACAACATGCTAATTGTGGGAAGATAAAATAGAGATATGGTTGGAAAAATAGTAATATGAAGGAGATCATTTTTTAATGCTTTTCAGAATGACTTTACTCATTCTGAAGAGTGCAGCTCAGCTTTAGCTGTGCAATTGTTGTATACAGTATAACACTAATTTTGCCTAATAATGTCTTCTAAGAAATCCATGACCATATTTTTGGATTTTGTTGCTGCTTTAAAGTTAGAGAAAAGCAACCTGTTTTCAGAACAATTAACAAGTTTTACAAATCACTGAAGTGAAAACTTGCGAAACTCCTGTATATTTTAGAATAGTATATTAGCAGTATGTTTTTTTAAAAAGGAGAAAAAAGAAATTTTAACATACATACCTATTATAGATACAGAAGAAGTTACTATTTGGGACTTCACTAAGGAAACACGTTCATCTCTTTTCTATTTTATTTCCACCTGTAGAGTTTTCAGATTGCTTTCCCCACAGGTCCGTGGGCAGCAAATAAACCCACCCATGCTGAAGCGGCAGCTGAAAGTCCTAAATGGTTTGGTGAGTAACAGTCAGGAGCCAAGAACACTCTGTGCCAGGAGAGCCTGTGTTGCTAACAAAGCAATTAGTAGCCCTTCCCTGGTGCAGAGTGTCATCGTCATGCTTTATCCAATTACTCAGAATATATCAGAAGCAAAGCGCCAGTGTTATTTTACGAAGAATTAGAATCCTAAACTACAAGTTACAAGGCTGTTCTCTGGTTTACTCTCCCATGTGGAGGGTTGGCTGAGGCCACGGAAGTGAATGTGGTCTGCTTGCCTGGTTTCAAACGTAGCTTCAGACAAAAATAAAGATACTCATTTGTGGACAACATGAATGTTTATACCTTTCAGTGACTCATCTTTGCCATCCTTCCAAAAGCTCGATACATTTAAGAAATGTTAGCTACACTGTCATAGTTATATAAAAGGTAACTAAGATTAAGAGATCAGATGCAGGGTTGGTGTGGGGAGGAATGATGCCTATGTATGTATGGTCACATTTTTAAGTGGAAGAATTAAAAAGGGGAACTATAACTTTCACGTCTTACCCAAACAGAGGTTTCTGCAGACATCAATAGAACTCTTATTTTACTAGCAATGCAGTTGAGCACATATATTAACACTAAAAGGGTTGAAAGGAAAAAGGGGACAGCACTGCTTTGCACCCATTAACAATGTGATATCAAAATGGAAACATACGTCTTTTAGGATGAAATCTAATAAATAATTGAGAACCACTGTGATGCCTGACACTTTACTACCAAATACTCACATCTAACAGTTTTTAGATTGTCTATCAGAAGATAAACATATACCCAAAAATAGACCTGATTCACCTAGATTTGAGATACGAATTCATCTTCTCTTTGCTAATTAAAGGGAAAGAACAAGGTATTTCTTACCTGCACGTGATTTCGTGTGTGGGCAAGACTCGGCGCATCTCTGGGTTCTCGTCTTGGCCTTCATACGCTACGGCCTGTAAACAAAGGCACGATTTGGGCTAAGAATGGAACCAAGTAGCAGAGGACAAACTACCACAATCGAGTTCTTGACCATTCACCAGTGCTGCAAGGCCAACTAGCTTTCAGAGCCAAAGGCCTCACTGGGCTGATTGTTTTAAGACAGTTGTTAAGGATCAACCCAAATTGAGTGGAAGGGGATATGTTCCTCTCTGTCCCATCAACCACCTTATTATAATGCACATCTTTGGATCCTTGTATGAGATGGGCTTCTGTCATCAAGACAACCACAGTTCTCTCTTCAGTTCAGAATAAAAATAAATCTAATCAGTGGGGAAGGAAAAACCCAGAAGGCTTAGCAGACTGAGATACTAGTGATTTAAAATATAGAAAAGCACATGGATTTTATTTTTAAATGATTTGTATTTGTCACCTCATTTTACTACTTCCAACTCCAACATGTAATATTCAAGAGGTAAGTAGCAGAAAACAAGTGAGGGTATGGTTATGAGTCCACTCACTGTCTTGTGATGATTCATCAATCCGGAAATCCTTCCTGCCTACAGGTTGAAAACATGTGCTCTCTGGGGTGTATAACCACCCAAACAGTAATACTCGCCCGCATATGCTGGGGGAAGGGCAGGGTTGGGCGGGGAGTTAAGCCATAGTTATCTCCCTCAACTAAGAAGAATTACATCTGACTCTCAAAATTTGGAGTCCCAAACCACCTCACCAGCCAAGATGTTTTTAGTAATATGTGTACAAACATGTTACTTAAGGTTGCTGGAAGTTTCCTTGAGACCTCTGCTTACTGGAAGATGTACATGTTAATACCTGGGCCAGAGAAAAGCTCACAGCTATGGGTAGAGCAGTGCTCTGCATGGGGATACATTTTAACTAACTTGACAATGTAGCACTGCGTAATACTAATATAACACAGCTTCAAATTCTTAATAAAATTACTTTCACACCATTCAGATAACTCAATTTCTTGGTGATGAAACTACTTAAATTAACCAGAGACTACCCTTTTTTTAGGACACACAAAAACTGCAGTAACTAACTTATAGTTGTCAGGAATGTGCTTGTTTATGAACCTGAGACTTTTAGAACTGTAAATGATGGAGGACAGCTTATGACACTATGTGTGCAGACCCTCAGAGCAGGCTCTGGCTTTGTTACCTAACTCCAGTACAAAACAAAAATTGCAACAAATTAAAAAATGAGAAAAAGTACCTGTATAAGGAGAAAACATTTCTCTACCATTGGCCCATCGAAAGCATTTTTTATGGTTAGCCTGTTATAACCCTATAGTTTTAATGTTTTATTTTGCCATAATTTTAGATGTATAGAATTTTAGATGTATAGAAAAGTTGTGAGGATATATAAAGAATTCCATGATACTCTACCCAGATGCCTCAAGTGTTTACATTTTAGTAAATTTGCTTTATTCTTCTTTCCTTCTCTGTTTTCTTTTCCTGAACCATTTATTAGTTAACTGCAGACATGCCCTAAATACTTCAGAATGTATTTCCTTAAAACAAGGAATTCTCTTACATAACCATAGCACAATTATCTGAACAGAAAATTAACATTGGTACAATACAGTAATCAAATCAACACCTGAGATTCACCAAATACCCAGTAATGTCCTTTATAGCAAACAACAACAAAACCAATACCAATCACAGCATTCAGTTGTCATATCTCCTTAAAAAAGGAATATTCCTGAGTCTTTGTATTTCATGACATTGACATTTTTGAAGAATACAGGCCATTTTGTAGAACATCCTCAATTTGGGTTTGTCTAATGTTTCCTCAGGCTTAGACTAAAGTTATGTAATTCAGGGCCGGAATACCACAGACAGGATGCTGAGTTCTTCTCCTTGTATCACATCACACTGTCAACTCATTCCACTAATGCAGTAAACTCTGACCATTTGGTTAAGGGGGTGCCTGCCACCCATCAGAGAGCACAGCCAGATTTGTGTACTGTAAAGTTACTACTTTAAGTCATTCATAACTATCTTCTGGGGAAATCATCTAGATTATGTTAACATCATATTATGACTTAAATTTTCACCCATTAGTTTTAGCATGCACTGATGATGCATTCCTGCAATCTTAAAAGACCTTTTAAATACCCAAGAAGTTGCTTTACTCAAGAAAATGCATTAATTGAAAATATTTTAAAAACCAAAACTTATATCTGCCTGATTTACTGCAATCACTGCTTTAAAAAATCAAACACTGTAAATAACTGATGAGATCTCATACATGGTGCTAAAAAATTCCATCATGCATTTCTGGGAAATCCTATTATCACTACATGTTTTGTACGTTCTCTTAATACCCCTGAAAACCTCTGGTTCAACTTTAGTTTTCTGTCATGCTAAACTAATACAAGTAACTTGGTAAATGAAATTCACAGGTATTAATGGGGTTTTCCTTCCTTTTTAAAAAAAAATTGGTTTTGGGAGGAGAAAGGAGTATCAATTACATCAGACCTTCTCATTTTGAGTCTTTCTAGATAATGCCAATATTATTTTTTACTGAGGCTGCTGGTTCCACTGAAATCAGTGGGCCCGTGATGATACTCAATTAAAGATATGCTGCAGGGGACTTCCCTGGTGGCACAGTGGTTGAGAGTCCGCCTGCCGATGCAGGGGACACGGGTTCGTGCCCCGGTCCAGGAAGATCCCACATGCCGCGGAGCGGCTGGGCCCGTGGGCCATGGCCGCTGAGCCTGCGTGTCCGGAGCCTGTGCTCCGCAACAGGAGAGGCCACGACAGTGAGAGGCCCGCGTACCACAAAAAAAAAAAAAAAAAGATATGCTGCAGTGAAAATATGTTGACGACCCCCCAAAACAGTAGATGATCCATGGTCTCCCAGGTATTCCATGTTTTTGTCTTTGGTGACTGAACATCATTCGTTGAAGGCCCAGGGCCTCCGTAATACATCTCTACCAATCTCAACCTGCCACTTCGCTTCTGGCAGCAGAGTCAAAATGGAGAATCTTTCTCTACATCAAGCATAGAAAAATGAAAGCATGAGTTTGGATTTTTGCTCAGAAATAGTTAAACTCTGGGGACGGAAGGAAGCATGAAGTTTCTTCTGTCCCTTTCCTTGGGGCCTCAGCAGAACAATACTTCTCAGCACATAACCACAGACAAAGAAGTGCTTGCTGCTTCTGTGACCTCTGAAATAAAAACAAGTGAAACAGAGAGTCTTTTCTCTCTCCTAAGGAGTAGAACTAAAATCCTGGAAATAGAGTAATAATCTAGAACCTCAGTGTAATAGAGTTAGCTATACAGTGAAACTCCGTCAAAGGCAGCTCCACCTCCAACCTCACCTAAGGAGTTTTTGTTACTGAAAAAGCTTGTTAAAACACACACACACACACACACCACACACATAGCACACTATCATATAAAAGTATGGTCCAAGAAATCGACATTCTGATGAGATTCAACATAGGAAAACAGGGTAAGTCTATTTTGATGAATGTCTCCGATGTAGAGTGTCAACAATAAAACAGACTTTTTAAAAATGTCAACAAGTTCTCCCTCCAGCTTTCACACAAATTCTACCGTGTACATTTAGTACACACGTCAAGACTGGTTCACAGTTCAGCAAACGCAGACTTCGAGCCTAAAAGGAAAGGGGTCCTCTAACACCAGCTTAGGGAGAAGTTTCTGCTTGTTTTCCCAATTTAATATGTGCCTCTGTGGGGTGTGAGTGAAGCTCTTTGAGGCCGGATCAGTTGGGAGATCACAGAAGCATATAAACAGCATTGACTACTTTAAGTGAAACCATTTTAACAGACACCTGGTTTAGGAGGTAGACAATGAAACACCAAGAAGAAGGCTTATCTTCATCCTCCATAGTAAGTCATGTGTCTGCTCACTGGGAGGAAGGTAGGTCTGCCGTGAAAGCGACAAAAACAACAGTGGTTTAAAGAAATCAGTGTGTTCACCAGGAAGGAGTAAGGATGGGAGGCCTGTTCCAGAGATGGGCAGGAGGGGAGAGGAAGCATATCAAATATATTATTTAAATAAATGAATTGATGGTGAAGCAAGTTGAGGTTTAACCTAAGAAACAACAACAAAATACAATATCAAATAGAAAATGATGTTTACATTAATCCTGCCAATGCAAATAAATCCCTTAAGGTGGCAGGACTGCTTGTACAGGAAAAAAAGTAAAAGAATAAACAGCACGAACTTCATCTCAACTTTAAACACCTAGTGAAATTGATAAACAAGTTGTCAAAACGTGACATATTTGGAGCAGATTTATTCTTCTGATATACTAGCCTCCCTTAATGTTCTCCTCTAATGAGAATAATGAAAATATCACAATTATTTTTAATACTCTGTTGACTTTCTGATTGAGGTTTTTTTCAAGAATAATTGTTTTCTTTCTTTTTTTTGCGGTACACAGGCCTACTCACTGCTGTGGCCTCTCCCGTTGCGGAGCACAGGCCCCGGACGCGCAGGCTCAGCGGCCATGGCCCACGGGCCCAGTCGCTTACGCGGCATGTGGGATCCTCCCAGACCGGGGCACGAACCCGTGTCGCCTGCATCGGCAGGCGGACTCTCAACCACTGCGCCACCAGGGCAGCCCAAACTTTCACATTCTTACACAACAATAGTGCCAGAAGGTTTGCTGTGAGAGGATGAAATGCCATCAGTTTCAAATGCCCAATTACACATTAACCTATACCATCTTTGAAAAGAAATCAATCAATAGAAAAAATCTGCCTCTGTTGCCACTGTTTTAGAAGGCATCTTGTGAACTGTGGTTCATCTCCACCTTTCTAAAATATCACTGGGTCTTAAAAGTTAATTGAAACTTACTATGGATAAAGACCGCATAGTAAAACAGAAAATACACGGTGAACTTACACAGGGATCACACCTCAATGGCACGCGGAAAGAAATACAGGGAATTGAGCACAGTTTTCTTTGTTTACTTTTCAAATAATTTTAACTCTTTCTGTTCCATGCAAAAATAAAGTGGGCAAAGAGAATACTTTTGACTTTGGTTCATTAAAATCTGAAAGGTTTTTAGGAACAAAATGTTTTCGTTAGGAGTCTTTCTTGGTTTACAAAGCAACAATCGGAGACTTGTCATCATTAATTTAGAAAGACAGAAAGAGAGAATGAAAGGAAAGAAAGAAAGGAAGGAAGGAAGAAAGGGAGGGAAGAAGGAAGGAAGGAAGGGAGGAAGGAAGACAGGTAGATAGGTAACCTATAACTAACAAAAACTCCTAATTTTCCATTTAAATCAAAACAGTAACCTTGAAAATACATCACTCTTTTTTCCAAATACAGAATAAAACGCCAAACCTAATTTGTCACCTTAAAGAATCCATTCATGAATGTACAAAGTATCTCCTTCAACCAGAAGTAAAGTGTCCTCTAAATACAGATTGTCAACACGACTTTGGCAGCAAATTACCAAGAATCAAAACTAATAAAAAAAATATGAACACCTGTTATCAACATGCTGTAATATTAATCATTACTTTCAACCACCAAGTTCCACTGCTTGTCATTTAAAAAAAAAAAAAGTGTTAGCTAATGCGGTTCCAGAAATTTCCAGTAGGTGAGGGAGCCTTAGTTAAAAATTAACCTGTGCCAACGAAAACACTACAAATGTGACGTTTCAGAAACAACTGTGTCAGACAGCAATCCAAAACTAATAGTGAAATAAAAAATTATTTTGCTTCAATTAGCAGCTTGGCTACTGGTGAGCAAATTACAAAGATGTAATTTAAGCTCAGCAGCTAAGCAGGCCTGTTTGCAGAACTGAATTAGGAAAGTTGCATAGGAATATCATATTCAGTATGCTGTTCAGTTACATCACAGCCCTGAATAAAGAGAACGTGCACCAAAAGCAGGTAGCTTCAGAATGCATCTTTTGTGTCTCAAATAAAATCTCTCATATTATTCAAACACCAAGATAAAAACTGAATCATTCTAACAATATCATGCAATATTTCTCTTTCTAGCAGTAATAAAAGATATTTCACTCATATGATAACAACATTTACAACTATATTAGTAGATACAACTGGCTTTGTCAACTCAATGGGGTAATAATAGTAATAATAATAAAATAATAAAAGCGTCTAATTTATTAAGCACTTAATGTATGCTAGTCACTGTTCTAAGCATTTTCCATGTATGAATTCATTTAATTTTCACAACTGAGCTTCCAGGTAGGTGCTGCCATTACTTCAGTTAGTTTCCAAATGCTTACGTAGTTTAATAACTAAGACCAAATCATTCTTGCTCAACAACTATATAAACAGTTCACCAACATCCAGACACTTCTTCATTCCTCTCAGCAACATAAGACACAAGAACAGACTGTGTAGTCATACAAATTCGATAAATGCATCACTACTAATATGTTCATTTTTAATGCTGTTCAAACATTCACATGGAAACAGCTCTAGCGTAAATATCCCCAAACAAATGGCTGTATATTATCCAGGAGGGAGCAGTTGGACCGCCAGACTGGGAAAGTACTAGGCCATCTGGCTCTGGCAATCTCTCCAAAACCATCAGCTTTGTTTTCACCCCCAGACTCCAAACAACACGTTTTCCATTGTGATGAGTTTACATTTTCCCAAACACAGGTCCTGATCATGCATAAAAATTCCAAACTTCTTCATTCCTCTATATGCAAGAAAATTCAAATCACCTGCATTTTTGACATGTTACCAAAGAAGAGAGACAGCTGCTAAAATATGGCTCCTAACTATAAACTTGCTGTGTCATTTTTTGTTTGTTTGTTTCCCCAAATATATGAAAGAACCTCTCTGCTGGCCTAGTTGAATTCCTTAGGAACATATTGATACACTAAAAATGTGCTTATCTACCAATGAAGAACCATGAACAGAAAGGGCTGTTAATCAAATCTATGTAGCTGTGGCAGGATATGATGAAACAATCAATAGGAAAAAATGCACTTGCATCAATAACTTAAAGTACCAGGAACATCAAAACAAATACATAAAGATTAGCTGGAAAGAGAACTATAACAGTAGTTCTGATTATTGTACCTTAGACTTCCCACTGCCCTGGGGCTTTTTAGGGGTCCCCTCACCATATCACCTACCTTCAAATCCATACACACAAGGATTATGTGACTTATTATTTTTCCTTTTCCAAAAAAGAGCTTTGGTTTGGGGGCAGGGAATGTTTTGTTTTTGATAACTTTATGGAATTTGGTAATCTCTCATTGAATTATAAAAATGTCCCTTTTTTCAAAGCAAGATGGTAAGAGGGCAGATAAGTTAAAGGTGTTTTTTTTTTTAAAAAAACTATTTAAAGATAACTCACTGAAGCAATCACAGAATGTAATTATATCTCAGATACTACAGGAAAATCTGAACTGAGGCGCATTAAAACTCAGACGTCTCCCACTGAGTTCATTTGAGTTTCTGCAGTAGATACTGTTTCTGGATGCAACAGCCATAAACTTCTGGATCCTACAGGCCTTTCTGCATGCTCACTAATGGAATACCAAAAACAGCAATGACAAAAAACAAAAGAACCCTATTTTTAGTCCAGCTAAACTTGGTTTTGAAAAACCCTTCCCAAAAGCAAGCTTCTTATTTTCTAGTTGGTGGACAAATATTTTATTTTTTTCAGAAATTGAATGCTTTTATTTTATTTATTTTTTACATCTTTATTGGAGTATAATTGCTTCACAATGGTGTGTTAGTTTCTGCTTTACAACAAAGTGAATCAGCTATACATATACATATGTTCCCATATCTCCTCCCCCTCTTGCGTCTCCCTCCCTCACACCCTCCCCATCCCACCCCTCTAGGTGGTCACATAGCACCGAGCTGATTTCCCTGTGCTATGCGGCTGTGGACAAATATTTTAAGTATAATTATATCCTTAGTGTTTTATAAGAAAAGCATAGGGGTAAGAGGGCTCAGATCCTTACACATTCACTTCTAATAAAGCTTTCCCTTTCCTGGTAGAGTCCAAAATTAAGAGTCATTACCCCAAATAGCGTAATGAGACACTTTGAAAAGGTGTGAAATACTGTGTCCTACCAATACATCTTGGTTGACTGAGTACATTTCTGTTTGATCTCAATGCTGCTAACTCCACTCAAGATCACAAACATTCTATGAAAATACAAAGTGCACAGCTAGTTTTGAATTTTGCTTGCCAAAGATTCCCTTCAAGTTTTAACCCCAACTTGTGAGTCAAAGGTATGACATCACATACATAAAGCTGCATCTCTGACGTGAAAAATGTTATGATAAATAAGCAGCTAAGAGGAGACACTTGAACTATGCTTAGCTATTCCCACTGAAACTTATGATGTTACTAGAACTCATCAGTCACTGAAATTATTCCATTCTGCACTCTATCAAAATCCTGAGTCAATCTACCTGGAAGAATTTCACAGGGGGAAAAAAATAGTAACCGTTTAATCGGTCACCTTCTGTCAAGACTTACTTCTGATTGAAGGAGTCACTGCACACTTAACTAAAATCAAAAATTTAAGAATTTAAAAATCCGACTTGGCATTTAATTATCACAGAATAATTTCAAGCTAGATGAGAATCCACTGTTTTACTCTTCGAAGCTAAAACATAGTTATTATGTCACAGCTAAGGAAAGTCATGCTCTCCACGCTGATCTGCTTTTTGAAGACTATTGTATTAGCTGTGTACACAAGAAGCTAACCTACTTCCCAAACTCTTACAGCACATAATCAAGGAAGAAGCAACCGGATAACGGGCAGGGATTGCCTTTCAAAGTAAAAGCTACAGAGAAGGCATTAGACAACTATTATGAAAGCAAACAGGTATGCCTGGAAAAATCTTTTTTCTTGATATTTTTAGACTAAATTCAGATAATTACTAAGCCTTTTTTTCAGGTCACTCCCCACCAAAATATATAATTGCCTACATTTATAATTTTATAATTTTAACTTTCAGTGAGATGTCACAGTATGGCAAGTAACTCTCTTATACCTGCTATTACTACACTGTATCTTATTCTGGTCCCATCCCCACCACGATAGAATTTATGAAACCGTGCAAAGAATGCCTTAAGCTATAGTTTTCCCTAAGCTCTATGACCTTGTTAGTAAAATGATATTAGATGTATTGCTTTATAAGAATCAAGATTATTCTTCCTCCTTAGAAGAGTGTGTAAAGTCATTTCATCTCATAATGGGAAGATCAATTCTTGTGGCACTTTTGGTTTACGGGGCCTAAAATAAAGTTTTGAGAGAAGGTATCACGTCAAACATGTCCTGATTTTGTGTTCCTTACAACTGTCCACTTCGTAGAGTTGCCGATAATTTAATATTTAAGTGGCCAATGTTTCACAAGCAGACAGGTCTTACATACTGGTTTGTGGGGAGTTTTTATTCTTTAAAAAATAAACTGTAATAAGTACATAAGGAATATGTATTAGAAATCATACTTTCCCTCTCCCCCTCCCATCTTTTCTTTCCTCTGATGGGAATGGCAGGAAAAAATATCCAGGGTATCAAAGACAATTTTTTAAACACAAAACTCCACTTAAGACATTTTTGTTTTGATATCATTTGTTTAAAAAGTTACTGAAATCAGGCTTTTGCATTTTTTTGCTTGGCAAAAAAAAAAATTTAACAACATACAGAGCGTCCAAATCAAAGGGAATTATCCTATGTAATGATCAAAACCAGTATAGTAATAATAATAAAAAACAATAATAATACCAAAAGTATAAATGTGTGTTTACTCTGAACAATCAACTAAGAAATAAAACAGATCTTCAAGAAAGTCAAATATTTTAGGCTAATAACTTGAAATAGATTTCAAGAGATATGTATTTATCATTTTAAAAAATACATGGCATACCCTCATGTTTTTCACTTGGTTCACAATGAAATATGAAGGTAATAATTACAATTAGCTGTTATTAAATGGGTTCTTGCTGAGTAGATTTTAAAACTCCCAACAGGTTATTAACGTGCATTTTGTACAACATATTTAAGCCATGGGTATCTAAAAATAATTTTTAAATATGCATGTATACTCTAATTTGAAACCTTCCAAGCCAGCATTTATGAAAACTACGTCCCTTATTTTAAAGGGAATCTTTTAAAACCGCCATCATGCAAACCAGTCTTACCCCTCTCACTGAATTGGTGGTTAGTACACAATGGGTAACTTTTCTCTTTGTTCTGATTTGTCCCCCACCCAATAAAACTGTCTTCTTTTTTGTCACGAAATCCTCCAACTACCTAACCAGACATTTAATTCCTAAACTTTTTCTTAAAAAGAAAAAATGTTCATGCGCCTCGTAAAAACGTCAGATCTCTTTTCTGACTCGCCTCATAATTGTGTCTTTTAAAACATAACTCGGCATGTATACCGCTCGGCACCCGCATGCTGGGAACGTAAGAAAATGCCGTCTATGTACCTTTAAGACCACAAGCTCGCTCACGCTGCCTGGCTTCTTGCCAAACTTGGAGGCAAAAGCAGGGGGATTTTTGCAAGATATCTTCTGACAATTGTCGCTCCGTCTTCCAGCACTACCACCACCACCATCTCTTCTTTAAAAAATGTGTAGAGTGGGTCAAGCGCGCTCTCAGACCACCGCACCGTTCCTGGGGAAGCTGCCTTTGCCCCTCACCCGCTTCCTCTACCTCTGCCCCCCGGCGGAGGCCCTGACGGTTTGGGTTTCACAAGTTCAGCCCGGTCTGCACCAGGGTCTCTGGGCACCTTTGCGCCCCCTGGGGCCCCCCGGCCGGGTCAAAGGAAGTTCAGCCCGTACCCTCCCCGCGCAGCACCCAGTAGTCTCAAATCGCAAGGTCTGAAGTTCCCTTGAGAAGAAGGGGCCGCCCAGCCATCTCCCGCGCGGCGAGTCAACGTGCTTTGGGGCGCTTGCAAGGCTGCGCTGAGAGCGCGGTCCGCCCTGGCATTGAGAGTTCGAGTCCCAGCCCTCCCGCTAAGGAGTAGCCGGCTCCTTGACTCTCCCAAATTTCGCGGCCGTAGAGTCACCCCCGCGGCGCGAATTTAAGAAACTCATTTGTTTTGTCATGGAGTCAATGAGGCGAACGTAGAAATCCCGCTGCGTCCTCATTCCTGGGGGAGGGGCGGGGGATAGGGGAACGAAGGAGAATTAAGTGAGAGAGGATCTGCAGGAAACAAACAAACAAAGAATGGGGCTCCGAGGCTGATGGAAGGCCGACTGTCCTGGAGAAGCACAGCCAGGACCCCCTTCCCCAGTTCCCGGACGAGGGCCTCTAGTCCAGCCCGAGAGAGTTTGGAAGGCAGCCCCGCCCCCAAGCACAGCAGCTGGGAATCGGACGGGCGGATCCCCCCCCCGTCCCCCCCACCCCGGGTTCTCTCCCTTCCCACGGCTGGAGTCCCTCTGCGTGCTCTCCGGGAGCCACCAAGGCCCTGACCGCTCTAGACCGCTGAACGCAAGGGACCTGGGCATGAAGTCTATGCTAAGCGGAGGAACCAGGCCTTAGGACGGCGAAGAAGAAAGAAAGCGGCCCAGCGGGGCCGAGGCGCCACACCTGGGCCCAGGTACGCGCTCGCTAATGCGGCCGCCCTCGAGCCACTCAGGGCCTTCTCAGGTGAAGCCTCTTCGGGCGAAACTTAGCAGAGGCCGGTTTACCCCGAGGATGGCGGACGACTGAGCTTTTGCTCCCTGCTGGCGTCCTGGGTCGCAGCAGGCCGCAAGGACACAAGAGACGCGGGAGGGAGGTCGGCGTGAGCTAGTGGACCGACTTCGAGGCAACTTTCCCCAAGCGGGGACCCCTGGCCTGGGAGCCGGACAGGCCCGGGGGCAGCAGAAATTGCGGCCAGCTGGGATTCCTCTGCCGCCCTCCCGACCCTTACTGCTCCAACTTTCCAAAAAGTTCCATGGGGCGCGCACGGGCGATCCCGTTCCTAGGGCCTGGGGGCTCGAGCCCGCTCCAGCAGAGGCAGGAGCCGCGCGTGGTCGCGCGGTCGAGGGCGGGTTCGTCCCGGCGCCCTTGACTCTGGAGTGCGAAGCCGGGCCCGCCTCTCTCCATCTTTCGGGACTCAGCACGAACTTTTCTGGAGCAGAACCTCAGGAACGAGGAGCCCGCGTTCTCCCGGAACGGGAAGCGGCTTGGGGGACCCCGCGCGGGGCGTGTTACGGATGCTTTGCCCTCGCGGGGGAGCGCGCCTCCCGAGGCGCCCACTTACTTTTTCCTTCTCCACGAACCCCGCCAAGGCTGTCCCCTCGATCTCCGCGGGCTGGCCCTGTCTGTCGTAGAGGGCCAGGACGAAGCGGAAGAAGTTGGATTTCCGCATATTGGAAGGCGGCTGCTTCGGAAAGTGAGCCCGGGCCAGACCCACCCCGCTGCGGCCAAAGACGCAGAGTTAGACGGCTCAGCGGGACAACACCCGTGACCCCTTGTCACCCCTTACACACGCGCGAACCCTCAAACACCCGCCTCCTCTGCCCCCAAAACGCCCCGTGGGCCCCCTACACGCCCCCTCAGGCGCCCCGGGCCCAGCCTGCGACGGGACACGCGTGCTGTCGCCCGGCCAGTCCTCCCCGCCGAGGACCTGCGCGCCCCCCGAGCCCGACGAAGAGGTGTGAAAGTTTTCTTTGGGTTTTGCGCAAGAGACAAAACGCTGTACGCGTTTACTCCGACCTGACGCGCGCTGCATCGGGAGGAAGAAAAGTAGCGGTGGATGAGGGGACGCGCGATCGTGGAACAAAGCCTGTCGTTTACAACTTAGGAGGAGGGTGGGCATGGGAGTTGGTTCTCGACACCCCCTCGAATCTCCCTTGCGCAGGTGCGAATGGTTGGGGAACATGCTCCCCTCCTCGCTGAAGCAGCCATCCTCCGGGAAACCTCATGCGCCCCCTGTCTCCACTGCCCAGCCGCGGGTGCCCGGCCTCGGGGAGCCGTCTGTCCCCTCACCGCCCAAATAAAGCATGTGGAGAAAAAGGATCTGCGGGTGGAACTCAGAGCAGTCAGGAGTGGTCGCTGTGGGAAAGGGAATTGGGGATTTTTAAAAAAGACCTGTCCTGACAAAGGTTCGCTGTTCCGCAGAAATCCTCACACCCTTTCCAGAAATCCTATGGATAAGGGCTGACGGCTGAGGGCGCCCTCCCGGGGGCTGGAGCCTGGGGCGCCGGGGGCGCAGGGCGGCCACTGACAGCCCGACCTGGCCAACACAAGGGTGCGCGCACACACACGCACACACACGCGCACACACACACACACACGCATCCTTTTGTTTCTAGCCCAGTTACCCAACTCACTCTCACTACCAACCACCTCCACCCTTACTATCATCGGGGATGGGAACAGTGTTGTGTACACTTGTCCCCAGCCCGGAGAAGATGAGGGTGATGTAGTTAGTCATCTTCATTCTTCCCCTTCCGCCCTCTCTGGGCCGGAGAGAGCTCGGAGCCACCAGATCTCCCATTCCCCCAAGCCCAGCTGGTGGCCTAAAAAAAAGGGGGGGACCATTTCTCACTTGGGACCAGGAGTCCCCAGAAAGGGTACTGAGGGTGCCCAGGAAAGTTCCGCCAGGTCCATCTCCAAAAGCAGTGCCTCTAGGCCATACAGCCTAGCATCCAGGAGCTGAGAGTGGCAAAGGGGCTAGAAGGGGCCATGGTCCTAGACGGTGGGGAAGACTTTTAGGAGACATCAGAATTAAAGTTAGGAGTTGCTGTTCTTCGGGTGGACCAAGAAAAACTGAAAGCTAAAGGGAGAGGGAGGGAGAACCAGAGAGGAGAAATAAGAGATGATTCTATGGGGACACGGAAAGAGAAAAGGGGAGAAAAAGGAGTTAAGAGAAGGAAAAAGAGGAAAGAGAAAGAAAGAGTGAAGAAAGAAGAGGAAGGAAAGAAGGAAGAGGGAAGGAGAAGAAAGGGGGAAAGAAAGGGAGGAAGTAAGGGAGGAAAGGAAGGAGAAGGAAAGTTTTTTAAAGAGGGGGAAAAGGAAAGAAAGAAGAAAGAAAGGAGGAAGGAAAAGAAGAATGAAGAGAGAGGAAGGAGGAAGGAAAGAAATAGAGAAGAAAAGGCAAGGAAAAGAAAGAAAGAAAGAGAAAAAGAAAGAACAGAAAAAAATAGGAAAGAAAGAAAAGACAGGCGGCCTGAAAAGAAACAGCAATCACAGAGAAACACAGATATCCAACATCATACTGGTGAGACGCCTCTTCAGGCTTAAAACAAAATGAAAACAGTCACAGACCAGGCAGGGAAAAGTGCCGGTAAAGCGCGGGCTCCTCGCAGGCAGCTCCCGGCTCTGCGGCCGCAGGCAACCAAGACAGAGCGGCCGGGGGGCGTGGAGCCCCGGAGACGAGCAGAGCCGAGCGGCAGACGCACGAGCGCGGCCCGGCCCCGGGGCGGCGGCTTCCGCTACCACCTCCGGGCTCTGCTGCTCGCCGCTTGCCTCCCCGGCCGCGGTCCCCAAGCGGTACTGACCTCTGCGCCGCCGTGTTGGCGTCCAGCACCCCGGCGCCCTGCATCCACGTCCGCACCGCGTTCCTGCCGCTGCCCGGCGGCTCTTCCTTCATGCTGCTCCCACTCCATTCGATGCTTTGCTGAATCCCAAACATGAAAACAACCTTTTCTTGTGGAAAATCTCCTCCCCCTTGAAAATTTGAAAAAAAAAAAAAAAAAAAAGGAAAGAAACGCCAGCCAGAGATTTTTTTTTTGAGTCGTTGAACTCGCGCTAGAACATCAAGGGGGGCTGGAAAGCAAATTTTTTAAAAATGTAAACCTTCGCTCAAAACTGAGCGATAACCCGAAGGGGAAAAAAAAAAGGAGAGAAAAAAGGAAGGGAAAATCCAACAAAAAGATCGAAACTTAAAAAACAGAGATGTATGCTTGGCTGTTGGGGATTGTTTGGTTGGTTAACTTTTGGTTTGGGTGCTTTTTTTTTTTCTTTTTCTTTTTGTAATGATCACAGGCCGGTGGAAGACAGGAGGGACTGGAGTTTCCTTTTGTAGAGGTACCGTTCGCTTGAAGAAGCAGGAAGAAAAAAAAAAAAAACCCTGATGGCAATTTAAGAAACAATAGACTCAACTCGCGCTGCCGGCTTTGCTACTTCGTCATTTTCCACTACCAGGCAAGTTTTTCCTCTCTCTCCCTTTTTTTGTTTTTTTCCTCCTTCTCTCCCAACCAAAGATGTTTCTTTGGTGCGTATAGATGAGGAGGACGCTGGTTGCCCTAGACAGATAAACCAGAGAGGGAGAGTGGGGTGGGGAAAGGGGGAGGGGGGGTAGGGAAAGACAGAGAGGAAAGGAGAGGAGAGGGGGAGAGAGAGAGAGGTGGACCCTGTTGAACGGAGATTCTGTTTTCTCCTTGCTAAAATAGAAGTGATTTGCAGGCTTTCCCTATGGAATCCAGTTTGACTCTCCCCGGAGCTAAACACAAGCACACTAACCCCAAGGGGAGGAGGCGGGGCCCGCGCGGCAAGGGCCCGCCCCTTCATTTGCATAACGCCATCCTTCCGCCTCGCCGCAGCCAATCGCGGCGCAGGAGCCTGCCGGCTCTTAGCGCAGGGTCACGCTCCCTCGTTAACATCCCTCTCCGGCTGGCGCAGGGGAGGCTGCCAAAGTTCCTCGCAAAGTGGCGCGCGAAGGATCGCTTAGTACCCGTGTCCGAGCTGGAGAGGAGCGGGGCTGAGCTGGGCAGAGCCGGGCAGAAGGGAGACAGAAGGAAGGGGAGGAGGATATTCTTCTCAGGGATTTGAGCTGGGGTCTGCATCCCGGCCATTGCAGTCAGCTAAGCATCCTCGCCGAGCCCTGAGCGCGCTCGAGGCGCGCAGGCTGCGCCCTCCCAGGGTCGTGTCCTGCTCCGCTGTCCTGGGACGTCGGGCGCAAAAGTGGAGGAGATGGGAGAGCCCGGGCAGAAGAAGCAGGACGCGCATGCCAGGCGTCCACCTCTTCGCTTTGAGGAGGGGTGGTGGCTGGAAAAATGGGTGCGTGAGATCGGCACTGGGAGCTCGCAGATGGCACTGCCTCCACGCTGGGAGGGTGGGGTGGACCCTGGGCCCCGGCAAGCAAGGCGCCGTGGATCCCCAGGGAGTGGGGGACCCGCGCTCTGCCCCTAGTCAAGCCACGAAACACCTCTCGCTCCGCCGCTAGACTGGAGACCGCCGGCGTTAGGCACTGTCCTCACGTGCTCACTTCTCTGGAGCATTCCGCGGGATAGGTAAACCACCGTTTACCTAACGAATGCTCGCACTGGAGCTGTGCCAGGCTGCGTTTTAAAATTTGCTCGGATTCAATCTCCACCCCCTCATCCCCGCCCCCCAAACAGTTTTTTCCTTAGAGTAGCTACCAAAGCAAAAACAACGTCTCTGATTAGTTATTTGGTGTAGAGTTTCTCTCTTCCTCATTCTGTTAAAATGGGGGGCTTGAACAAACCTTCCCCCCAACTTCGGCCTCTGACACCTGTCAAGAAAGAGAGAGATGAGGAAGGAGGGAATGAAGGGAGGAAGGAAGGGAAGACGAAATGATCTCCTCCCTCAGACCTTTCAACTTATATGCTTGTGGCTGGCAAAGGAAATAGCTAGATGTTTCTGGGTAACGTGCCCCATCATTTTTTAGCAGGCTGTAACCTCTAATAAGCACATGGTGAACTTCTGTTTCATTGCCCTCAAAGGAACTCCCTGAATGCAGCCAAGTCTGCTAAGGCCTCCTTCGGGGAAATTGTCTGCCAGAAATCCAGGTCCCCTTTCTGCCGGCCTTTCTTGGCCCTTTGATTTAGGGACCTCATGGGATCAATGATGGAAAAGTACACATGCCCATGTTGAATGGAATGGAGACAGGCAGAAGTTAAACTTAGTACTCTTGGCAGAGCAGGAAAGTGGGAGCCACTTCCAGATTCGTAAACTAGTTGAAAGATTGTGTTTCAGGCCTGAGGATACATGGCCACTGTCTTCAACACTGCTTTGTCTCTTGTGCACAAAGCCTGCCCAGTCTCATACCATTTAATTTGGACCATTTCATGTGCTGAGCTCTTCCTCCCTGGTACTGTAATTAATGCCATTTCCTCCAAGATGCTCTCGAAGAGATCTGTTTGTTCCATCAGGATCCCCACACCACCCACCAGAGTTCCTGGCACACAGTATATGTTCAGGAGAGGTATGTTGGTGGAAACACTGGAAGGATTATAGGTTTGTGAAGAGGGGAAAGGGGAAGCTGGACACTCTCCATCTCTACAAAATTTAAGTGCACAGTTGAATCTTGGCCTGCTGAAAATTTCCCAAAGCTCCAAGTTTAACCTCCAAGGCCCAAAGGGTCCCCAGAGCCCATCCCTTCCCCTTCCTGGACCATCCCCTGCCTTCTCTGAGGGGATCCTTCAGAGAAGGGGGACCAGGAAGCAGAGGCCACCCCCCTATCAAAGAGCCCCAGGTAGCACCGGCATAAGACCGATACCTCCCTCTCTTTAATTGCCGGAGCCTCCATTTCACTCTCCAGTAAACAGTGTTAAGACTCCCAAGTTGAGTCTGGTGAGGTACACACCCCAGTGATGGGGAACACACAATGGGGCATCAGATCACTGCTAAAGGTGACAGAGAAAGGAGAGACACAGCCACTCTGATGACCAGGATCAGTGAGAGTAACACAACAGATGGATTTCTAGGGGGTCAAGCAAATCTAGAATCACTCTGCAAATGATGTGTTTGTGGAGGGGCCTGAAGCTGCGTGATCCAAAAGAGAAACTGGCCCAGAGAAAGAAGCCTTCAGCAGCCCAATTCCTGCCCCAGAGCCAGTAATCTCCAGGAACTAAATAGGAGGAAGGCAACCTCCACATCCACCAGGCCATGGGAGGAAAAGCAAAAGGGGGCAGGTATCTTTTGCTACGACCAAGTCCATTTGGCTATGCAGAGGCAGCAGATACCTCACCTGGGATGCTGAGTGTACTTTATTTTAACCAAGCAGAGTGTATTCGTAGTTTTTCTTCTGGGCATCCTTGTGCTTTCAACCTTGCTCTCTTACCTAGTAAGAAATGTTTAAGTAGGAAGGAAGCTAAAGAGAAGGTGGAAAAGAGACGAAGAGGGTGATAGAAAACTGGGAACAACACCCAGGCCAGCAGAATGGTACCTTTTTGTGGATTTCCTCTGGTGAATCATGAAGTAGCACTGGCAGTTTTAAACTTTGAAAAATCCCTTAAACGCTTTTCAGTCTTCCCTCATGTAAGGTTTGCACCACCTGCAGCGAGCAAAACGTGTGTGTACAGGGGTGACTGTAAAGTATGTACCGAGAATGTCTTCATCCTCTTTACGTTATAGCCACATCCTCTGTGGAGAGACAAACTTGTATGCATAGCATTGCCCAGGCTTTATAGCATGGGTGATATGACTTTAGGGTAACTTATAACGGTAATCACTTATAAGGTAAACCCTGCTTATCAGTGTAATCAAATGGGGAAAGGAGGAATTTTGTTAGAAATGCAGATTTCCAGGCATTGTCCAGACCTGCAGAATTAGGGAGGAAGAAAGTGAGGGGTAAAGAACATGTACATGAGGAAAATATACAGCAGAGCGAGTCTATATGTGGCAGGAGCAATTGGAAGGGCTTTATATTCCCCTGGAGTGAAGACTCCCTCGGGGCTTCTCAGAGTTTCCTCCGCCTGGCGGTGGGCGCGGTACAGCGTCCACCCTCTTCCTCTCCGTTGCTCCAGACAGCAGACAAGGCTGCCCAGCCCTCGGGGTCTCCCCGCGCTGGGGGCAACTCAGGCCCTGTGCGCAAGCCCTTCTCCCCACCCCGACCTTGCAAACCCTCTCACTCGCGGCCATCCCAAGCCTCTTACGTCACAAAGAGATCAATTCCGTTTCCTGGAGAGCATCAGTCGCCGCGGTAACTTCCGGGGAGTGCAAACGGAAACACCCCCGCTCCCCAAAAGAGCGGAGACAAGATAAACACCCCCCAGCTAAGACTAGGGGGACGTCCCAGGGAAAGAGGGAATCTTCTCCGCGAGTCCACCCCCAGGAAGCCAGACTTGGGACCTGTCATTTAGAAAATTCCCTCGTTTCGGTCCCCCTTAGGGAGACACGCTCCCAGAAGGGCCGCCTGTCGGGGAAAGGCCCCCTGCCTTTTGCCGCTAGCCAGAGACCAGAGTGAAACCGGAGGAAATATGCCTCCTCCAAAGCTGGGAAGAAGGGAAAAGGGAAAGACGGGGCGATGAAGGCCAAAGTCTCCGAAGGCGGCCCTGCTGGAGTCACGGGCAGGGTTGGACAGAGGCCAAGGCACTGCCCCAGAGAGGAGAGGGATAGGTGGGTGCAGGGTGGTGGCCCGGGGCCCTGGGAAAGAGAGGACCTGAGCGGGACGCAGCTCCGCAGCGGCCCCTGATCAGCACCCAGACGCTGGCGGGGGTGGTCAAACAACGGGTCCCGGTCGCCCGCGGCAAAACCGTGCCCCTGCCCTCCTAATGCCTCTACGCGCTGCCCTGGCCATGGTTCCACCGGAAATCGTCTGTCCTCCCTCCTTGCTGTCTGTCCTCTCCGGCAAGCGGCAAAGGGAAGGGGGCATTTCCCTGGACCATGAACCCTGATTCCGACCCCCAGCGCTGCAGAGAAGCCCCGATTTGCGCCCAGTCCGGCTGATACTTCCAGACCCTGGGAGCGTGCCTCTTCCCACAGCACGGACAGGGAAACTGAGGCCTAGAGAAGGACAGAGTCACCCACAGAGAGCTAGGAGGTAGAGGTCAGGCAAATAACACCGCTGGGGCTCTGGCTTTGGAGCGCTTAGTCTGCTGGGACGAGGGCTTGAGGCCAGGGGTTCTAACGAACCTTTCCCGAATCGAACCTGCAGACTCTCGGGTTTCCTCTGGGGTGGTCCCCAGATAAGAATAGATCCCATTTGTTGAAGGTTTTATGGGCATAAACTCACTGAAGTCCCACAACAGACAAACGAGGCAGGTAAGATCACCCCTATTTTACAGGTGAGAAAACTGACGCTCTGTGATTAAAATGAAACTTGCCCACAGCTGCATTGCTAGTAAACTCACCGAGCCGAAATTTCTTCAGAGCCTATGTATGCTCTGAACCTTGGATCCAAACCACTCACCCAGCTTCGGTGCTCATCTCCCGCATTCGCCTTGGTGCTTGACCCCATGGCTCGAAGATCCCTTTAGCTCTCGGGCCCGTAGGTATCCTGGATGACAAAGGAGCGTGGGCGCAAGCTGTCTCCCCGAAGGTAGGCAGCAGAGGGTAGAGAGGACGGTAAACGGTTCTGAAAAGCTGTAATACGCGGACTGCGTGCGCATTCCAGCGGTCGGATACAGATGCCCGCGTCTCTCCGGGCCGCCGGCGGCAGGGCGCGCTAGGGTCGTGCCAGCTCCAGCCCTGGCTCTGCCACATTTGTTATGTGACCTCCAGTTAGCCGCTTCTCCCCAGCCCTAGCTGAAG